GGTACTTTACCTTCTGTATTTCGTTTTGGGGAGTACAATAAGTCATACCATATTTATGTTTTTGTTTAGTTTTGCGTCATTTTGTTTTCTCCATGATGCTTGCAGATTGTTCTCCGCTTTGATGTCATTCTTATCCAGGAGATCAGAGATGCCTCTGGTAAAGCGATTCTTAAGTTGCTTTCACTAATAAACAAGTACGTGTTGAGAGTTTCTTGATATCGTTTCAGTTTTCGTTATGTTGTAAGAAGAATTCAGTTATATGTAATTCTTATTGTCATTATAAAAATTACTAGTACTTTTTTATCATTAACTGTCTATATTTTTGCATTCCACAGAAATTCCACTAAAGGGATTTACGATATCACCATCAGTCCGCGACTTGGAAGATCTTCAAGCAAAGAACAATACGCGTTCCTGTTCAGGTCAGTCCAACGACAATTTACTTATTCAGCTACTTTGCATTCTTTAAACGGTTTACTCTGAGGTTCTTTCACTGGTACAGCTATGAGCTGCTGTCAGGATTTTAATGAAATATGTACGTTAGCCTGTCTTAACCCAGAATCACTTCCTTTTTTTCTTTTTTAAGCATTACTGACGGAACAGACTTATCCCTGTTCGCTTCCCTTAACATGACACGAGAGACGAAATTCGTCAAATAAGTGTATAACAAGGCCGAAGACGACTGATAGGACACAGTTAAACCCCTCTCGGTATGGGAAAACCTTCTGCACTCAACCCCCATAATACTAATATTCACTGGTCACATTAAACAGCACAAGAGGGCCTACAGTTCCATCAGTGTACTTCACTGTAGATGTGGCCTTATCCTCTACAGGAAAGACGTTTTATCCGTTAAACATAGCTATACTTACGATGATGGCCAAGAAGATCTTCAGAGCGATACTTTTGAAAGGGAACCATATATCGTTCACTTTTACTCTTCAGTGACCAGTAAGTATGACGTTAAACCTCGAGGGGATTCAAGCCCAAAGAAGAGTGTTTTGGAGGGTTGATAGGGTTGGCATCGATCGTCTGGGATTATGATAGGAAGTTTCTTGAGTGTAACTTACAAAATATCACGCTTTGACAGTCGAAATTTTGATTGGTTCGATTCTTTATTCCAGAACAAGGGTATGACATATCATATCAGAGCATAATTCGATAAGGCTTTTTAGACTAATCACCTCTACCGCACTATATTAGTTTCCTAGAGGCTAACTTGAATGTTTACCCAGTAAAGGTCATGTTATACTTGTTTTTATTCATTACTTTTAATTACAGATGTCACAGATTTTGTGCTTGTTGCTATCCACACGTCTCCGTCGAAAGCTAACCAAGAAATAGACGAGCTTGCTGTTGTGTATGACGACGTTATCAGGAAACTTGGCATAACAGATGTGATAATCCTTGGTGACTTAAATGCGGCCTGCAGCTACATGAGTGATAGCAAATGGAAAACCAACCGATTGGCTAACGACAGGCGATTTCATTGGCTTATTTCTGATTGCGTAGATACCACTGTAACTGGAGGACTCTGTGCCTATGATCGGTCAGTTGGAGTTGAGCCGGATAGTTTGCGTTCATAATTATTTCGTAATAGATATCTTGTCACCTTACTGTGCTTGCAATGTAACTTTCCTCCTATAAGATCAGTACTCTGTTATACTATTAGTTAACATTTGTTGTTATCCATACCAGTCCTTAGATGTTTTGATTCTCTAATTTTAACCTTGTTCCAGATTCGTTGTTGCTGGAGATGCTATGTTGAATGCAGTCATTGAGTCAAGTGCGAAAAGTTATAAATATGACCAAGAGTTGGATGTCAATCAGACCATGGTATTATTTCAAGCCCATACATTCTTATATTGTTCCTATGTTATTTAATGTTGTTCCAATAGTGTTTCTTATTTCATTTCAGACAGCTCTTGTGAGTGATCACTATCCAATTGAAATGCAAATTGTTACAAAAGGTAAGAATCGTTCATTGGTGGAAAAATGGTGACATCCATGCCTTTGATAATACTTTTTCCGACTTACTTTACTGTACCGCCTTTTTACTATGTAAAGTCCTGAAACTAGATACTAATTGACAGACGAGAGGTGATAATCATACAATGTCTAAAATTTCTTGTTTCTTAAAGAACTGGCCACAGCCTTGAGTTCCATATCCAGGAGTGTTGAACATTCTTTCAAAACGAAACCGTCTCCGACTCTGACCAGACATAAAATATACAGAAAGAAAAAAACCTTGGAAGCAGCAGAATTCACAGTTGAAAGAACGTATAATAAAAACAGAGCAATCAGTAGAATGATATTCAGAAGAGACTTTGTGAACATCAAGGAAGCACTCGGTGCAGTTTGCATCCTTAAAGAAAAAACCACTGACTCCATCATCACTGTTGCTCAAACCCAAAATGTAGAGTTCCTTTTAACAGGACCGTGGATACAAGAAAAACAATTATTGTATAAGAAAACTGGAACTGTCAAGCTTGTTTGTGAAATGTACCCTCAGCCCAGTTGCTGGATCTCTCTGTTATTTAACTAACAAGGGCAATTTGAACCCTCTACACTCATGTTATATGTTTAATGTTCTGGCTGCATAATAAAGTAACATGTCGATGGGAAACTTTAGTTTCTTTTACTCGTTTCTTACTCTGGTAGTAGCGTCCATGGTGGAAACACTTAGGCAGCCGTAGTGTGGAATCCTACTACTTTATATGAAACGGAAACGTGTTTGCAACACCCTGAATTTAGCTGTATTTGACATCACCTATGCTATTTGGAAGTTGGATAGATATATAAGTCGGAATGAATTCAAGACATGGCGAGAAACGGGAAAAAATTGTGTCGTTGATAGGCACAAATGCAGGTAGGGGGCCAGGCTAGTCTCTCAACCCTTTCTCAAATTTAAAAGAGCCTCCCCTTTGGACCAAAAAAAGTAACTTCCTACGTATTTCTTTTACACATTAACTCAAAGGAGTTAGAAGTGAGAAAACAAGCTACTTTTCCCAATGAGTGGTACGCCTTTTAGTTTATGTTCAGGACCCGATTCAGATGAATCTAAGAGGCCTCCGAAAATACAATATGTATCACATGACCAAGGAAATCGCAGTAAAATAGTTAAGTCATGTATGGGCACATATTATGTCCTCAATACATATTATGTCCTATACTTTAC